AAGATTTCAAGCTTCTCCTTCCCAGAGAACGTGTGCTCCCTGGAGATGTGTGGTGTCCCGCGTATTCATGGAATGGGGGCAATGAGAGGTGTCCCAGGGAAACCAAGATTCCCCAGGTGCCGCCGTCCAGAGGCACGTGTTCCTTGCAGTGTCTCTGGCCTTTTCCTGTACCCGTGTTCCTGGTGCTCAGGCGGGGATCACCAAGGAGGTACAGAGATTTTTGCATCTTTGAGCAACACATGAAGGTGGGGGACAGGCAGCCCCGGCAGGTGGACTGACTTATGGTATCACTGAGGGTCCCCTGCGCTGCCATCCTCTGCTCATGACTTGTCCTCCTGTTTTGCAAGAAGGCTGCCCTTGGAACCATCACATCATCCCTTCACTATTGTAGGAGGAAGCCAGCGTCCCCACTTTAAAATGTCTGGTTTGACCTCGTTGGCCAGGTGGGCACACAGCCAGCCCTGGCTGCAACAGAACAATCAGGGTATCAGTAAAAAGAAGAGGAATTCAGCCACCATGGACACCACCCCAGGAAAGTTACATGGCATGAGTCAGAAAGTTGGTGGTGGCAAGTGCTGACGAGGATGCAGGACAGTGTAGAGGGAAGGCAGCACCCCCAGAGAAGAGCTTCCAGTTTCCAATCAGTGGCTTGTCACTGAAGTCCATGCAAACCAGCCATGTCCCTCTACATTCACCCCAAAGCATGTGCTCCCAGGGGGGCAATGGCACCCCAAGGGTGCGAGAACCTGAGTATTTTTAGTGATACACATTCACGATCGCCCAAACCAGAAAACCACCCAGGTGCCCTTTAGCCAACATAGGGGTGGATTGAGGCCCAGCTGCCAGGGGGAGCCACGTGCGTCCAGTGAGAGCATGGCCCCAGGCCAAGGCCATCAGCTGCAGGACTCTGCTCAGGACACACTGGAGGAGACAGGAGGCAGACACGGCAGAGTGGTGGGCATGGCAGCGGGGCAGAGGCAGGCATTCGGGGGCCAGGGAGTCCTGTCCCATGGCAGCTCTGGAGGCTGCTCTCATGACCTTGACTGTGAGTGACACCCAGACCCACAGGAAGACTGTGCTGGGCTGGCCACTGCTGGGTGAGACCCAGCTCCTGCCTGTACACACATGCACATGGACACACACACACACACACACACACATTGCATGTCAGGAACAAAAAGAAAGCAGCTCAAGCCTGAAAGGCAGCTCGGCCGAGGAGGTCACATCTCTCCCCTGGACCACGAGCATCCTTTCATTTGTGATGATGGACTGGCTCCCCATAGACATGTCATCGTGTAAGTAGTAAAGGAACACTTTCCTTTTGTTTAAAGAACACAGAGCGGGGAAGGAGGAGGGGGTGGGAACAAGGGAGAGAAGCCTTGGGTCCCTTTGCTGCTTCCTTCTCTTCACCATGTGGTTGACTGGGTCAGGAAACCCCAGCATGGCCAGGGCTCTGGCATCCTACTCCGTTGAACCTTTTCCAGACCAGTCCTGAAATCTCTCCACCGAGCCCTGGCCATTCGGGGCTGATGCTCTCCAGCGCGGGTCCACCTCGGGCTGCTTTTAATGTGTTGTGATTTTGCAGTTTTTACTATAGCCTCCCTGATGGCTTGCCCCTTGACTTCCCTGGTGGCTCAGATGGTAAAGCATCTGCCTGCAATGCAGGAGACCTGGGTTCAATCCCTGGGCTGGGAAGATCCCCTGGAGAAGGAAATGGCTAACCTACTCCAGTGCTCTTGCCTGGAAAATCCCATGGACAGAGGAGCCTGGTAGGCTACAGTCCATGGGGTTACAGAGTCGGACATGACTGAGTGACTTCACTTTACTTTTTAACTACAGCCTCAGCCCTCTCACTGCCTCTGCTGGTCTGACTCCTGCAGGCCACCTGCCCATTGTCATGGAACTGTTGGTTTTTTCACCTGGCGGGCTGACACATTCATTTCCTTGGAAGTCCAAGTTAGTGGCTTTAAATTTTCCTTTGGTTTGTCTTTCCTTGTGTGTGTAATTTATTGATACTTTACCAGATGAGGAACCTTCCAGAAAGCAGAGGGAAACTTGTATTTTGTTACATTGTCCTATTCCTTACTCCTATAAATTAAACAGTATTTTTAGAAATATTTAAAGATAGTATCAAATACTTAAACACAAAATTAAATACTTAACAATTAATTTTTGCAAATATTTAGTAATCAGTCAAAAAAATATTTAATCAATTTCTCCCAAGTTGCTTCAAGGAACACACATCACAGGCCCAGGTCATGTGACAACAAATATTACTCAGGGCTCTGTGCTGTACTAGTTGCTCAGTCCTGTCAGACTCTGCAAATTTTCCTAAGCAGCTGATTAAAATCACGTCTCTAACAAAGATTTCTCCAATCATCTTACTCCTTAAGGAGTGAATGAAACCCACAAGTCACAGCAACAAGATGCACGGCACACAACATGCAGACTTGGAGCTGTGGGTTTTACTGTCACTTCGCTATCTGGGTCAGGGGGAGACAGGGAGACAGAGAGGGAAAGACAGAGAGACATGGATAGGGAGACACATCAGGGCTTGGTCTGCAGGCTTAGCTTGGCTGTGGGAGCTGGATAGACAGGACTGGCTGAGGGAAGGGTGTGGAGAATGGGGTGAGGACAGGTCAGGTTCCCTGAGGAAGGACTGGCCTCTCTCCTACTTTTCTCTGCACCCCCAGCCTTGATGGTCCGGCCTGAGAAGCTGGGCACTGTGTCGTAAGGCTTAGAGGCACACTGGGCTTGAGAGAGGCTGAGTGGGCCCATAGGAGATGGAACAGCGGGTGGAGCTGCTGTCCCCAAGATGGGGATCTTCACATGTGTGACCCCAGGGTGTGACCTCTGAGTAGAAAAATCTGTGAGGCTATAGCTCCTCTTCCGGCCTCCAGATCTTGTGCAGAACTGTCTCTGTTGACCCCCCGACCACAAACACACAGGAGAGGGGCTGCTAGAAACACAGCCTGGCCGGCTGCCACCGGTCTCCCCCACAGGATAGCCTGGCCACAGGGCGGCCCCTCCTGGCTTCAAAAGGCAGCCTTTTGCATCGCTCCACGATGCTGTTCACTTTTTTTTTTTTGGCATGTTTGGGACAGGGGCCTACTTTTGGCTCAGGGGAGCCAAGTGTTGGGGGTGGGCTTTGTCCTACCCTGACCTGCTTCCCCCGGCTCTGCCTAACTCCCCAGCTAAGGAGGGCTGCCCTGGAGGGCTAGACCAGAACTGTTGGGAGCCACACTTAGAGTCTGAAGAAAGCATGTTTGATATTTTCTTCACATTTGATTTATAAAATAAGCTTCACTAAAGCCAGATCATTCTCATGTTTCATGTCTAAATAAAAGAAGGCTCAGAAACTGCTATTTTCAAGGAATCCATGCAAATCAAGAAACACAAAAAACACTGTAGGTGCCAGTGATCTTCATTTCTGGTAAATGAAAAGCCAAGTTGAATATAATCTTTATTTTCTCTTTTAAACACTGTAAATTTCAGCATACTCTGTGATTCTGCTACTCAGAGTGGGGTCCACTGATCAGAGGCACACACATCAGCTGGGGGCTCCCTAGAAAGGGGGCATTCTGGGACCTACCCGGGCCTGCTGAATTAGAATCTGCTTTTAAACAAGATCGCCAGGGCAAGTCTGTGCACATTACGGTCTGTGTTGGTGTCATGCTTAGAATTGTCTCAAATATTTTATTGATATCATCCTGTATACTTATTGGTTGTATAATTTTGTATTTCAATGATCTGAAACTAATTATTATGCCGGTGTGGGGGAAAGCGTTCTAATTTTTTCTCTATATGATTAATCAAATGTCCTGATATCTTTTATTGAGTCCCTCATTTCCCTACTGGGGACATACTAAGTGGGGGAAAAAAAAGCAAACTATCACAACAAATGCATAGGACTATCTTATATTGTTCAAAGAAGAGATACTATAGAAGAAATGAATGGCACTCCAAAGACAGCCATCTGAGCTCTGATGGAATGAGCACAAGATTGACAGCCTGGTGGAAGAAAACTGTGCATTAGGCACACGCCTGTCCTTGAACTACCTGGTTCCCCTACAGAAAACAACCACTGAGTGAGGTGGGGGTGAGACACAGCACCTACACCTTAAAAGACAGGCCCAGGGTTAGCAAACCCACAAGGACAGAAAGGAGGTTAGTGGGTAGGGAGTGCTAATGGGTATGGGGTTCTCTGGGGTGAAAATGTTCTAAACCTAGAACATGGTGATGTTGGGATGTGATGGTGGTGGTGATGGGATGGTGGTGATGGGATGTGAATACACTGCCTCCCGAGGGCACACTTTAAAAGGATGAACCTATGTGGCATGTGCACCACACTCACCACTGGCCAGCATTCGCGGCGTGCATTGATTACAGGAGCGCTGCCTGTTCTAGGACGAAACCGGGCACCGCGTGTGCCTGACTAAGTTTTCAACTAGGCACAGACTGCCTCGTCACACCTGTACTTTGGGCCGCTGTCTCACGTGTCTGCTGTTCGGACGCACGGAACCCTCGTGTCCCGAGAAGGGGCTACCCGCACAGCACCCCGTGGATCCGTGAACTCGAGGAGGTGCGTTGCTTGGAGAGGCACCTGCGCCCCGATACCCGGCCAGGCCCCGGGCAGTCTGCTCCCGCGACACTGCACTACAGTGGTCTCGACTCGCGGACACGCGGACCCAGGCGGTGCGGACCCAGGCGGTCCGGACCAGCGGACCCTGGACCCCGGTGGCTCCGCCCCGCCCGCTTCGCGCCCTCTACCTGCGCGCGCAGCCCGGGAGGTGGAGCCGCGGCGGGGGCGAGGCGGGGCGGGCGGTTGGCGCGGCCGGGCCGCGGGGCGGGGCCGCGGGGTCGGGGCGGGGCTGCGCCCGGGAGGGGCTGCCGTTGCGGGCTGGTGGCGCAGGCGCGCTGAGGCCGGCGGTTTCCGCGCCCCCGCCCGCCCGGCCTGGCCCCGCCGGCCCGCCCGCGCGCCCCACGCCGTTGGCGCCGGCATGTCGGGCCCCGGGCCGCGGGAGCCGCCGCAGGCGGGCGGGCCGGCGGGCCCCGAGGGCGCGGAGGCTGCGCTGGGCGACGCGGGGCTGAGCTTCACGACCACCGACCTGAGCCTGGTGGAGATGACGGAGATCGAGTACACGCAACTGCAGCACATTCTCTACTCGCACATGGAGGCGGCGGCGGCCGACGGCGAGCTCGAGACGCGCCTCAACTCGGCCTTCCTGGCGGCGGCGGCGCCCGGCGCGGCGGCGGGAAGCTTCGCGTCGGCGGGGGGCGCGGCAGCGGCGGCGGCGGGGGGCGCGCCGCCCGTGTACCCGGTGCTGTGCCCGCCCGCGCTGGCCGACGGCGGCTTCGCAGGCGCCAACCAGTGCCTGGGCCACATCGACTTCCAGGAGCTGCGCATGATGCTGCTGAGCGAGGCGGGCGCGGCTCCCGCCGCCGAGAAGACGCCGGGCGCCGACGGCCCGGGCCCGGGCGCACCCCGGCCCAAGGCGCCCGACGGCGCCGGCAAGGAGAACGCGGAGGGCGCGCCCGAGGCGCGGGCCAAGTCGGCGGTGCGCGTCCGCCTGGAGGACCGCTTCAACAGCATCCCTGCCGAGACCCCGCCCGCCCCGCGTGGCGCGGAGCCCCCGGAGCCCGGCGTGGCGCTCAACAAGTGGGTGCATCCCCCGGGGAGCGGGCCCGGTCGGGTGCGGGTGTAGACCAGGGTCCGGTGCAGAGAAGCATCAGCCTCCGTTTGGGTGTAGACCAGGGTTACGTGAGAGGCCAGCGGCCCCCGTGCAGCTTGCAGCATAACGGGGAGCAGGCCTCGGAGGGCCTGGGGCCGACCTGAGACATTGTGTGCGCTGTGCAGGCAGAGTGAGCAGGTGTTGCGTTCACGCCCCACAGCATTTCCTTTATGGTGTGCACTCTGCGTCTGCACGTGGAAGAGAGATGAGTTAAGTGCAGAGATGCTCTTGAGGATCAAGGCTTTTCCCCAGATCGCCTACCTAAATGTCAGGAAAGGCCTCCGCTTCCCCTTGCATTGACTTAGGCGTAGGCTGACCTCACGGTGTGCAGATACAGCCCGTGGAAGGAGAGAGATCATGTTGTGAGGCTTTGAGTGAAAAGCAGCTTCATCCTGCAGCCAGATTGCCAGCTCACAGGCACTCTCTCAGCGACTACTGGAGTGTCTTCTCAGTTTTCTGACTCTCCCCACCATGTAGTTTTCCCCCTATTTTCCCATAGTCGTCAGATTTTGGAGGATGGCAAAAATAATAATAATAATAATAACCACCAGAGATTGGTGACAGAAGTGGGATGGGAAGGGAGTTGTTCCTAAAGATGACACACAGCTTCACCTTGCATTGTGAGGAAGACAGTTTGAACTTGTCCCCTACAACACTAGTGGATAATTGTTTTATAGAGATTTCCATGATGAGGGGCCTTTCATGGTAACAGATTCGAGTTAGAATCTGTTATCTAGAAAATCTAATGTTAACCACGGGAGTGTGATAGTAAGTGACTGTGGTGTTTCAGGAAACTTAACCCGCCACACACACTTCACGTGTTTCTGGGTTTCTTTTGTCTTGGCAGTTTGGTAACTCTTATTCGCCATCCATCCGAACTAATGAATGTTCCTCTTCATCAACAACAAAACAAATGTACAACATTAGTGAAAAATAAAACTGCTGCTGCAACTACTGCTTTGCAATTTACATACCCTCTGTTTACTACAAATGCTTGCTCTACTAGTGGAAATTCTAATATTTCACAAACACAGGTAGGGAAAATAATTTGTAAAGCTTTGCTCTTTTGTATTAAAAGGATAAATTGTATTTCAGTTAGGTCCCAAGGATTTTTTTTTTCCTTTCATTAAGCACAATAACATTTTAAAATCTAGAGTATTTATGTGGTTCGGGGATATTTAAAAATCCTTAAAAGTTCTTCAAGTTCATATGAATAGTTTTGGTGTTATTTCTGTTAAAGTGCATTTTATTTGTGCATAGAGAGGAGATTGTCGCATGTTGATAAAGTTCTTATTGCTTCATTTTCTCCAGAGTTCTAGTAACTCATGTTCTGTACTTGAAACTGCCAAGCATCAGGATATTGGATTGCCAAGAGCATTTTCTTTCTGTTATCAGCAAGAAATTGAATCCACTAAGCAGACTTTGGGTAGTAGAAACAAAGCTTTGCCTGAGCAGGTTTGGATTAAAGTAGGAGGTAAGTGATAAGGCAGAAGCTGGCAGATGCTTTCTCTACCTGCCTGAGCTTTGCCCTTGATGTTGGGCGGGTTTTTTTGGCCATGGGTGGGAGAAGGGGGAGGTGGTTTATAAACATAAACAGTCTTGGAAGTCTGCTTGCATTTTAGGAACCCTTCCCTTCCTCTGCTTTAGTCACCTCACTTTGAACATTCATACCAGTTTTGGACATTGAGTTTATACTTGGCCTGGAAATATTCAGTTTAGAGGCTGGTTTTTCTTAACAGTAACCTCTTTAAACAGAAAAATGATAGACTTATGTACATTTTTCATTACCTTCAAGTTGCTGACAGATGTAAAGTTTTTATTTCATACTTCATGAATGAGGCATGAGTCAGAAATCCACTCAGAGATTTTAGGGGACAGTCTGGTGGTGGTTTAGTCGCTCAGTCGTGTCTGACTCTTTGCAATTCCATGGACTGTAGTCCATCAGGCTCCTCTGTCCGTGGGATTTCCCAGACAAGAATACTGGAGCAGGTTGCCATTTCCTTCTCTAGGGGATCTTCCTGACCCAGGGATCGAACCCACGTCTCCTGCATTGCAGGCGGATACTTTACCAGTAGCACCACCTGGGAAGCCCTGGTGGGGACAGTCTGCAGATGGGCAAAGGATTGAGTTGGGAGCAAGAGGCCATAAGGTGATTCAGAAAATTTTAGACATAAAGAAACTGCTAAAGACAAATTTTGCTTACCTCTGATGTTAACTCTCAATCCATTTTTCCTGGGAAGCATTCTTTTTCAAGTTATCCAACAATAATACAGCTCACACATGTGCTTTCTGAGAGCTGATGGAGACAGGATAGTGATGGAATGCTCCTGCTTTCTCCCACATCAGTGATTAATTTTTCCTGGTCATTGTGATGTTGTATGCGAAAGTATACGTTAACATTTGTAAGGTACAAAGGTTAATATTAAAATAGTTCCTGTACTGACTGTTCAGCTTAAGAAACAAAACATCACCAATACTTGTGAATTCCCCTCTATGTCTTTAAAAAGTTATCCCCATTCTGAAATTTGTGTTCGGCAATTCTGTCACTGTGGAAGATTTGGCTTTGTATGGCACCTTGGGAATGCTCATCACCACTTGTATTAGTTAGACCCCTGTTTGATGGGAAATTGACATGTTTCCGTAGCACAAGTCACAGCTATGATGTAATTACTGGCTTTGTAGGGGGAGGGAATCTCATTTGTAAGGTGAGGGCATGTTTAACCCTAAACCACTTAGGTTTTGTCCTCTTCTGAGCATTTCAGTTATAGTATCAGTTGTCATTTTAGAATAATTGCATATCAAGAAAATCTTTTGGAGAAAATATTTCTGGGTTTAAAAAAAAACCCAGAATCCATCCTGAGTATCAGGAAAATCAAACAGCTTCTTGGTTTCTCTATTCAGAGATGACAAATGCCTCTTGATTTAAAAGAGAGACGTTTGACAAGCTCTGTTGATCACATAGTTTAGTTTATGTTCAGTTTTATAGTTTGAAACCTGGGGCTCTGTGCCAGCTGCCCCTGTGGAATTTCTGAGGCTTCCTGTTTGGTTATGTTTGCTCCTTACCCATTCATGTTTACATCTTGGATTGAAAATACTGAAAAATATATTCAGCATTTATGGGGGTAAGTTAAGAAGAACTGAAAAATTAAAGTACCACTTTTTCCTTCTTTTGCAAAGAAGAAGCGCTATGTAAACAAGCCATAAATAAGAGGAATCGGAGTAGGATACGTCAGTTGGACACAAACGTAGAACGAAGAGCCCTTGGAGAGATTCAGAACGTGGGCGAAGGCTCCACGGTGGCACAGGGTGCTTGGCAGTCAGCAGAGTCGTCCCAGGCCACCCTCGGTGAGCAGACCCAGAGCGGGCCGCAGGGGGGCCGGTCCCAACGCAGGGAGAGGCACAACCGCATGGAAAGAGACCGAAGGTAAGGCCTGAACAGCGGCAGCATAGGGTTGTCTCAGACGCCAAGCAGGTGGCAGGCAGTGCTGCTGGCAGGCAGCCTTTTGTAGAAAATGGTGGTGTAGCCATTTCTGTATTCAAAGGGAGAGAGAGCCGGCAGGAGTCAGCAGCCGCTGTGTTTTGTGAGTTGAGAGTACTCACTATGACCCCCAGGCTTGATGATTCACTGGGAACACTCGTGGCTCTGGTCTATTTTGAACAAAGAACCCAGCAGAGCCAGCACTGGCGTGTGGGGGGATGGCCGGGGGACCAGGCACCAGCTTCCAGGAACCCCTCCCAGTGGAGCCACTCAGGATGCCTGTCAGCCCCCAGCCATGGGAGTGTGTCCCCAGCCAGGAGAGCTGTTGAGAGACTCGGGGCCCTGGGATCCTACTAGTAGGGGGCTGATTGTGGGGGGCCTTCCTTATTGGCCACAGCTAGATCCCCACAGCCAGATCCCAGACCCCAGAAGGAAAGCTGGTATTTAACATACCATGGCTTGGTGCAAACAAGCCGTGTTGTTTGCACCCCCGGCTTAGTCACAGGGTGGTGACTGGTGGTGGTGGGATCCCCCAAATCTGAGTTTCAAGGTGCCGGCCAGGGTCACTGGTCACTGAGTCATTCAGTTTTGCTGGGTTCTTCTAAGAATGTTGGAGAAGGAGGAGGTTACAGCTTATGTGAGTTGTTTTATCTGTTGATTTTATTTGTGCTGTTCTGCATAGATCCAAAGGTGGTTACATTTTCCATTGCAACTGGGTTTTTACATGATGATTCCCTCACATATAGTTATATTAACTTAGTCATTTGTTGAGTACTGTACCAGTTTCTGTTTTAGGCTCAGGAACTAGAACACTGAGCAAGACATATATTCATCTCTGAACCTACAGTGTTGGACTAAGGCAGTTTATTTCTTTTTAAAGGGAAATATTAAAGCTAGGCTAGACACCTTCCCTAAATTTGTGTCCACACGTAACTCACTGTGAATTATAATGGGCATTGTTCCCACTCGGACATCTATTTAATAAACATTTACTGAGTACCTACCATCTGACAAAAAGCCTTTTACTTACTACTACCTGTTGACAGTGAAGGTTTGAATTCTTCCTCTGCCATTTCCTAGTTTAACAACCTTCTTCTTGTTCTTCTCGTCTCCTCCTCCTAAGTTCCTCGTGTATGAAATAGGTGTTTGAAGTGGGACACCAGCATCAAACAAGCTGAGATGTTGGGCCTGGTGCCTGCGGTTACAGAGCATCTAGTGAATTCCCACTGTGACTGCCTTACAAAGTTTCCCTTAAATTCTGAGTGTACACATTGGAAGATGAGCAACAAGGGCCATATTGTATAAGGTGTTCCACATCAGCTCGTGTAGCACTGAATGTAATACATGAAAGTTAAAAATGGTCTAAGAGTAAGGCTCCAGTTATGTAAATCATCTCTAAAAAGACCAGGTTTGGGGACATTAACTGGCTGGTAGTCTGTGTTCTAAATGAACTGGGACCTCTTGAAGAATGAGTGCTGTGAATCCTAGCTTGTGTGAGCTCCTTGGCATCTAGCAGGCAGGTGAATGCCTGTTGGGTGAAAGAACATTCTGCCCAGAAGAAGCACACACACAGTTTTGCTTCTGGTTTGGGGGCTTTGGGTCCATCCTTGCTCTAGAGGCTTGGAGCTGGCCCTTGCATGTACCCCAGGTGAAGTAAGAGGGGAGACGCTCCAGGGAGAACGACAAGGCTGAGTTGGACCCCAGAGGGGACCTGGTGCTGCAGAGGGGAGCCTGGTTGGGGAGAAGCTGCTCTTAGTTCTCAATGGCCAAGCTGGGAGCTAATTCCTTGAGGAACATAGGCACTCACTTTATTCCCTTGTTCTGCGTCAGCTTTTCAATGTGATTAATTTGGGTTTTGACCATAGGCGCAGAATCCGCATTTGCTGTGACGAGTTGAACCTTTTAGTCCCGTTTTGCAATGCCGAAACTGATAAGGCCACGACTCTGCAGTGGACCACAGCATTCCTGAAATACATTCAGGAGAGGCACGGAGATTCTCTTAAAAAGGTTAGTATCTAGGCCAGGAGACTTTCAATCCTGTAAATGGATCAGTATTGCTATTTATCCTTTTCGTCTAAGATATCCCAAACTGTCTTTTGTTTCCTGGACTTTAATATCAGATACTGAGTCCAGTGTGAGTAATGCCCTGCTTGTTAATGATGGCATCATCTTTTATCAAAGTATGATGCACAGCCTGGGTTTGTCCACTAACCTCGGAGCATAAGCCTGCATTGTCAGTGGTCAGCTAGCAGGGAGACACCTGTTCCGTACAGTGAATTGTTTGGGGGCTCAATGGGGTTTCAAAGACTGGCCTGTGGGGTGTGAATTTTTGCCCTCAGAAATTGTTGTGAAAGGGATAAAGCACAAATAGAAACAAAAAGAGGCAATTCAGTGTCAAAAATAATCAAACAATCTGGTTATCAAACATGTTGAGAAGGCAGAGCAGAGAGACCCTTTGGCCTGGGTGATGGAGGACTATGTGGGGGCCTGTGGCAAGCATCTCAGTTTCTTGGTACAGCAAGTACCTCAACTTCGACCCTGTCTGTTTTGGCTGAGGAGCCACTGATACCCTGAGAGCCAGCTGGGCTCCCGGTGGGACCTGATGCTGGATGTTAGTGAGGGTCCCACCCACCCCCTTCCTTGGGGTTTCAAATGAGAGAATGTGCCCGGCAGTGGCTCCTGTGCTCTGCCTTGGGGGCCTTGGGTCCAGGTACCCTCAGAACTTGAGGTGGGGGCACGTAGTTAGTAGAGAGTGCCCTGGTTTTGCTCCTGGTCCCAGCTGCTGTCCTGCTGTTGACTGAGCATAAGTCTAATTAGAGAACTGAGCTGGCATTGGTGTAATAAACAGGGAGCCACTTTAGAACCATTTTAGAAAGAGCCTCCTGTGTCTAGATCCTGGGGGCCTGAGCATGACCCACCCCCACAGCCAGCCTCTCAGGCTGAGTGCTGAGAGTTTGTCTTCTCCAGTTCCTTTGCTGTGCATTTCTCCGTTTCTTTTCCATGTGCATTTCCATCTTGTGAGTTTTGTAATTTCATCAAGTTCCTTATTTTCATTGTATATTTTTAATTGCCTTTTAAAGCCATACCTTTGTTAGATTGTGCTAATTGGATCATTTATGGTTATTTATAATGTGGTTATTCTGGTTATTTTTTAACATTATTTTTTAGCAATATACTTGGTTTATTGTAATAAAATAAAGCTTTTATATTTAAAAAAATGAATTTAATGGTTGGCTCTGTGTACCTTGTAAGTGGTGAATTATTATTCATATGATTGATTCAAATATGTTGATGGTGTTTACAACAACCAAAAGAACTTAACTGTCTCTATACTCAAAGATTAAATAGATTAAAACGTATGAATTTTTGTGTGTATTAGGTTTCCTGAATATTTCTTCTTTTTCCTGAATATTTCTGAAATTTAATTACATTGAGTTTGTAAATTGTTTCTGGGTCGGATTACAGGAACCATCAAAAAACAGGCTGAAGTGATATCAGTAGCAAATTTGGGGAGAATTAGGACTGGAAAATCCTAAACCTTTGTGTCATTACTGTTTCCTTAGTGACATCCCCCCCACCCCCCCACTTACATGAACGTTTTTGTTCCTAAAGGTAAAATACATAAAAGTCTTAAGTAATTTGCCAAGATTATTTCAGTATACATCTCATCCCACAGTCCTTTCTGGATCACCAGGGAAGTCCAAGACTCTGCTTTTTAAGAACAGTATTTTATCTATTGCTCCTATTTCTCACATTCTGATCTGTAAAGATGGCAGTTTTTAACAGCTTGCTGAGACTTCCATTGTGACCGCTTATGTAGTAAAATTTTTTTTTAATTCTGTGTTTATTTGGAAAATACATGCATTCTGTTTGATGAATTCTGTATGTGTATTAGGTCAAGGTTACAAAATATGGTTCAGGCCTTTTTTGTCCTCTCTTATGTGTCATACCTGTTGTTCCGAGAGCCTGCGTGGCATTTCCCACTGTGATGCGCCTGTCCTGTCTCTTTGGGGCTCTCATGCAGCTGAGTGTTGGGGCACCCCCTCCCACCTGGGCCCTGAGGTTTGTCACCCCTCTTGATTTCATTAACCTTTTGCCTTTAAGTCTCTCCTCTTTCTGTATGGATGACACCAGTTTTCTTCATCTTCCTAACTTCCTGATATAATTTCTTTACGTGTAACTGTAACAATCTTTCTTTTTCCTACTAAAAATACAGATTTTATCATTGGCATTCTTCTACTTAACAAATGTAATGTGAATATCAAGTTTGACCAGATATCATTTCAAGGAGTCTGATGAGTTGTAAAAACCCCTTAGAACTCGATTGTTTCAGTCAGGTTTTGTTGAAATAGATGCTGGTTGAGCCAGCCAGAGTGGTAGTTTACCTTTGGTGCACTCGAGGGCAGATGTCCACTTGTCTCCCTCTCTCACTGTCCCTCCAAGTCCAAGTCCCCATGAGTCAAGTCCCAGGGGCTGTGTGAGAGTCTGGATTGAGCTACACCTGAACTCTACTTCCAGCAGAACTGTTGAGAATAAAGATGGCTGCCCAGAGGTAGTCTGCTCATTGTGTGAAGGTTGTTTAGAAAATCTCTTGAAGAACTTTTCTTACGTCTGAGAAATGATGACTTCTGTTTAGTTATTCTCAAAGGTAAACTCTACCTTCTCAAATATAGACAAATATTTTATAGTTGGGCTTGGGGTGTCAGAATACAGAAAATGATCAAACCATGGTTCATTTTATATTAAGATCCACTGAAAATATTTTAAATATTGGGAAAAGAATTAGAGTATATTTATGTACAGATAGAGCCTCTGAGCGTAGGTGGTGGTTGCAGATGGCAGGTGGCCTTTGTCGGGCTGGCCATCTTGGTCACCACTTGGTCGGGTGGAGCACTCCGGCAGCTCCAGATGACTCAGAAGGTAGCGCAGTGGCAGCAGACACAGTGCTTACACTTCCCTTCATGGTCATGGATTAAGTTTAAATCTACTGTAGCCCAGCAGCAAAAAGACGACATGATTCAAAAACGGGCAAAGGACCTGAATAGACATTTCTCCAAGGAAGATGAGCAAATGGCCAGTAAATAGATGAAAAGATGCTTAACATCACTAATGATCAGGGAAATGCAGATCAAAAGCACTTTAATGGATATGAGATACTAGTTCACACCCATTAAGTGGTGGTGGTGGTGTTCAGTTGCTTAGTCGTGTCCAATTCTTTGCAACCCCATTGACTGCAGCATGCCAGGCTTCCCTGTCCTTCACTATCTCCTGGAGCTTGCTCAAACTCATGTCCATTGAGTCAGTGATGCCATCCAACCATCTTGTCCTCTGTCGTCCCCTTCTCCTCCTGCCTTCAATCTTTCCCAACATCTGGGTCTTTGCCACCCATTAGGTGTGGCTATTACAAAATAACAAGTGTTTGTGAGGATGTGGAGAAATAGAAAACTTTGGGATTGCTGGTGAGAATGTAAAATGGTACAGCTGGTGGTTCTTCAAAAAGTTAAACATAGAATTACCATATAATCCAGCAATACCACTTCTGGGTATTGTAGATACCCATGAGAATAGAAAAGCAGGGACTTGAACAGGTACTTGTATACCAGTGTTCATAGCCACATTATTCACCGTCACCAGAAGATGGAAACAATCCGAGTGGTGGAGATAATCCAATCAACAGGCAAATGGAAAAACAGCCAATGGAATACTATTCAGCCACGAAAAGGAATGAAGTTCTAACACATGCCTCACAACATGAATGGACCTCAGAAATAGGATGCTGAGTGAGAAAAGACAGACACAAAAATACAAATACTGTATGATTCCACTTAATGAAGTCATCCGATTCATAGAGTCAAAACGTAGAATGGTGCTAGAGGCTGGGGGAGGTGGATGGGGAGTTAGTATTTAATGGGGACAGAGTTTCAGTTTGGAAAGATGAGAAAGTTCTGGAAATAGTGACAATGGTTACACAAGTTTGTGAGTGTACTTAAGCCACTGAATTTTACACTTTTGAATGGTAAAAATGGCAGGTTTTATGTTATATATATTTTACCACAATAAAAATATATAAACCTAGACTTAATTGTGTAAGAATGCTGTTCTTAAAAAAAAAAAACGGAAATGCATACACGCACAAAAATGGAGAGACTGGAATAATGAACTCCTGTGTCCCATAGCGAAGCCTCAGGCATAACTTCGTTTCACCAATTCATCCCCATCCTCCCACCCTCACCAAATTATTTTAAAATGTTTCCAGACGTCACATCACTTCATTCGCAAGTGTATCTCTAAAAAGGAAAGTGCTGCTTAAAAGCACAACCGCATCATCATCATCTTCCTTAATCTCAATCCCTGTCCAGATTTCTCTGGCTCACAACTGTTGTTTTACAGTTGACTTATTTGAGTCAGTATCCAAACATTGTGTTTGGTTCATAGCTCTTAAATATCTTTTAATATGCAATGGTTCCCTTTCCTATTTTCCTTACTGTTTTTTAATTGATGAGGTTGAAAGTCATTGAACGGAACTTGGGTCCACTCGCGCACACATAGTAAAGCCAATCTACTGACACCGGTTGTGGTGAAAGAAAGGTGCAGCATTTATTGCAGGTGCCAAACAAGGAGTCTGGGTGGCTTATGCACAAATGACCTGAATTTCTTGTTGTGGCACCTGCAATAAATGCTGCACTTCCCTTCACCACAACCTGGTGTCAGTGGATTGGCTTTACTGTGTGCAGGCGAGTGGACCCAAATTCTGTTTAGTAACAGATTTTGGTGCCCAGATGCAATGGAAATCCAATCTGGGTCACCAAAAATTGTTAACAAACCAAACTTGGGTCTGCTCACATATGTGCAGTATTACACGTCATGATTAGTTATACTCTATGACAACATCAGAGAATTTTTTCCGTGTAATATTTTCCATGTAATTTAACATACTAAATAATGTCAATTTAATATTTCCTCCCTGAGATGCCTCAGGAGTCTTCTGGAAAACTCAGAGTCAGCTAGAGAAGGAAACTTGCAACCTGTTATCAAAAGCAGCTCAATATTCCAGGAAAACTGCTCCCTTAACAGCGAAAACCACATCAAGTCTTGCACCAGCTTACTTTTAATAGCAAACTTCATTTACTTAATTCATTTCAGTCTAATCTGAGCCCATCTTGACCACATACAAAACTCTTTCCTTAAGGTTCCTTTTCCACAAACCTTCCATCACTTTCTGTATCCATGTTAGTTTGTCCTTTATTTTTGCCCATCCAGAGACCACAAGCCCTGGGACAAAACTATTCTCCCTTTATACCCTGAACAAAGGTTTTTCCATTTTTTATATCTTCTCTCACCAACAGTATATATCCTACTTGCTTTATATATTGAAATCCTTCCCTTTCTACTCTTAGAAGCTTAATTACATATGTATTACAATTTTAACCCTTAAAAACTTTAATCTCTAGTGAAAACCAAGAAGCAAGTAATTGAACTGTTCTTTACATCAGCATGGGCTTCCCTGATAGCTCTGTTGGTAAAGAATCTGCCTTCAACGCAGGAGACCCCGGTTCAATCCCTGGGTTGGTAAGATCCCCTGGAGAAGGGATGGGCTACCCACTCCAGGATTCCTGGTCTTCCCTCGTGGCTCAGCTGGTAAAGAATCCGTCTGCAATGTGGGAGACCTGGGTTTGATCCCTGGGTTGGGAAAATCCCCTGGAGAAGGGAAAGGCTACCCACTCCAGTATTCTGGCCTGGAGAATTCCACGGACAGTATATATAGTCCATGGGGATCACAAAGAGTCGGACATGACTGAGCGACTTGCACTTCACTTATATCAGCATGTTTTGATTGGCAAACATACAAACACATTCTGTAACCTCTGAAAGCATTCGTTTTCCTACAACTTTTCAATTCGATGTGCTACAGGACATGTGTCTAATAAGCCCGAGCATCTTTAGTTTTTTTTCTCAAAGAAGATGAAAGAAGGTGAACTTAGGCTTGTCCAGTGATCAGTGTTAATGCTTAGAAGGTCTGAACTCCTTGTTTGGTATCTGCAACAAACACCGCACTTTCCTTCATCACACCCTGGTGTCAGTAAATTGGTTTTACTGCGCATAGGCGAGTGGACCCAGATTTGGTTCAGTGACAGTTTCGGTGACCCAGATGGATCCTGTCCGGCGGATGCCTGAGCACCTTTGTCTCAGGGACAGCTCCAGGCCCTTGCCACCGACCAGGCGTCCTTGGCCCATGGCACTGGTTTTTCTGGTAGAGGAAAACAAGGTGCTCACATTGGTGGGTTGAGACATCTTTGGTAAGTAATGGAACTGATGTGTGGTAACACCAGAGTATTCTTCCCTATTATGTTGACTTCAGCTGCAGCGGAGCATTGATTGGGATTTTCCCTTTTGGACTAAGTAAAGCTTGTTCATGTGGCTTTGTCTCTGATGGCCACTGGCTAGGAACGCCCTCTCTTGAGACTAGGGAACTTGAGCCTTGAGAGACAGGTTTGCCTTGACTTGTTTGTTTGCTTGGTATTTGACAACACTGGCCATGAATAATTAAGTATGAGTGATCAGTGCTCTGTTCTATCTTGTAGTCTAGGGTGTATTTTACAAAACTGGTAGATGTTCAACTATACTTCTATAAAAAGTGATTTTTTTTTAAACACCACATGGCCACAACATTCTTCATTCAAAATCTAGAGAAAATTGGTTAAGATGAAACTTTTGAAATTCTAAAACTGGTTCTTTTTTGCTTATCAGAGAAAACTGGCTTAGATATTTTCTCAGTATCATGACCCTCAGAGATCAAAATATTCCTAGGATAAACCCTGAAGTTATAACTCTTATCATGTTCTTGAAATGCAGACACAACTCACATTGCCTATGACTTTAGTTGTGGGTTAATTAGTAGAACTACAAATCACAGGGGGAAGAGAGAAAGCCTTTTTAAAATCAAGTAAATTCAGCTTATCCCAACTGTTATTAAGTTTTATGTTTGCTGGGTGAGTTGCCATGACACTGGTGGTCACGTTTTCCTATCTTTTCATTTGCATTTTATTTGTTGTTAAAACAGGAAGCTTTAAGGAATTCTTGGACTCCACCTTTTGCTTTTGTCCTGCGGGAATCTTGTTTTATATGTATGTGTGTCTGCATTTGTCTTGTATGTAAGGGTACCAGCCATGGGAACTCAAGCTCATTTCTCAAATGCAGCCTTTTGGGGTACATTCTCCAGAATTGGACTGCTTTTAGTCACAAACCAATAAAATGTTCAAAAAATGATTTTCCTTTGTAATATGGCCTGGCCATAATTCTCTGTAGATTTAGGGAAAAGATGGCTTGCTAATGGATACCTAAGTTTTGCTACTATTATACAGCTTAGGGCAGTTTTATAATAGAGATAGAAAATGGGATAATAATTATAAACTGATAAATTTTGTATTGAAAGACAAGCTATGTGATCTCTGGATGGATAATGTCTGTATAATATTATCATAAATAAAATAGAGGTAAATGGGTTAAAAGCTTTCAGATGAACTCTTGAGGAATAATTATCTATTAGTTTTTTCAGATTTTTGATAACTTGAAACTAGTTTGCTAAACTAAGTTGTGTGACAGAAATTCATTAAAGGTTTAAGTCATTTTTCATTAAGACAAAATACTGGAACATTGATTGCTAGACAAGTCTAAGTTCACCTTTTGTCTCCTGAGAGAAAAAAAAAAGTTATTTGGGCTTATTAGACACATGTCCTGTACCACATTAAATCGAAAAATTGTATCATAGGAAAATATATGCTTTTAGAGGTTACAGAATGTGTTCTTAAGTTTGCCAATCAAAACATGCTGATGTAAAGAACAGTTCAATTACTTGCTTCTTGGTTTTCACTGGAGATTAAAATTTTTAAGGGTTAAAATTGTAATACATATGCAATTAAGCTACTAAAAGTAATAAGGGAAACATTTCGATATGTAAAGAAAGTAGGATATTCACTCTCAGTGAGAGGAAGATATAAAGAATGGAAATACCTTTGTTCAGGGTGTAAAGGGAGAATAGTTTTGTCCCAGGGCTTGTTGTTTCTGAATGGGCAAAAATAAAGGACAAACTAACATGTATACAGAAAGTGATGGAAGGTTTGTGGAAAAGGAACCTTAAGGAAAGTGTTTTACATGTGGTCAAGATGGGCTCAGATTAGACTGAATTGAATTAAGTGAATGAAGTTTGCTATTAAAAGTAAGGTGGTGCAAGACTCTATGTGGGCTTTCTCTCTCTGTTAAGGGAGCAAAGTTTTCCTGGAATATTGAGCTGTTATTGATAACAGGTTGTATTAAGTTTCCTTCTCTAACTGACTGTTCTCCAGAAGACTCCTGAGGCATCTCAGGGAGAAATATTAAACCAATTAAGATTATTCAGCATTGTACATTACATAAAAAACTTTATATGGAAAAAAATTCTCTCTGAAGTTGTCACAGTGTTAAGTTCTCACGACATGCAAAGCTGCATGTTGGTGAGCGGACCCAAGCTGTGGCCTGCGGGACTTCCCGCCTTCTGCACCTCACAGACCTGTATCTTTTGTTTCCTGGAGGCCTGTGAGCCTTGAGTTGTCTGATTGCACCTGCCTTCTCCTTTTGTGAGCTTGAGACTGATATAGCCATTAAAACTGAGGCCTTTTCTAAACTGTTTAGAGGTAGAGCGGCATTAACTTGACCCACAGCCAGTAGGATACTGGGGAGTCACCTCAGTCTGGCCATCGCCATGCCCAGTACTGAGCACATAGCAGCAGGGCGGGGCGGGGACTGTAAACGCCCCTGGCGGGAGGGGTGCGTAATGGTACACGGGATCTGTGGGAGGTGGTGGAAAGTTCTGGAAATGGAGAGTGGTGTTGGTTTGCACAAGAGTGTGAACATATTTAATGCTACTGAATTCCACACTTACAAATGGTTAAAACGGTAGAGTTTATGTCTGTGTTACCACAATGAAAATAAAAAATTACAGGTGCATTTTTGAATATCAGAAGGGTTTACAATATGGTTTGACCTTTTGAGAATCTGTTGGAAAATGAAATAAAAATACATGTAAAGGTAACCGAGGAAAGTGTTTGAATCCCCATCTTTATCCCCTTACAAGATGTGACACATGTTTGTGACACCTTAACTATATGTTTTGATGTAGTTTAGTTCTTAATGTCAACCTTTTGTGTTTTTGAAAATAGCAGTTTTCATGTCTGTGCATACAGTACATTGATGATCATGTCTCGATTTTAGGAATTTGAGAGTGTATTTTGCGGTAAAACTGGCAGAAGGCTAAAGCTGACCAGACCAGACTCCTTGGTGACGTGTCCTGCACAGGAGAGTCTACAGAGCAGCCCAGCTATGGAGATCAAGTGACTGGATGTGAACACTGGTTCCTGGGCAGTAGACGGCCGCTCCTTTGTGACACGCAAACATTACCTCGGACCCTGGACTTCCACTCTGATAGTCTAACTTGAGAGGGACGTGTCTCAGCTCATGGGACTCTAATGTGGACTTTGAAAGCCCATTTTGTAGAAATATTTATCTAGAACAAAATACTTACCCACTAATGTCCTCTTAGACCTTTTGGGGATGAAGACATCTTGACAATTAGTAATTTTTCAATTATCTGTCTGATTCCATCATGTTTTCTTAACATGATAACTTAAAAAAAATTAACATCCTTTGTAATTTCTTTAGTCTTAAAAGGTACATTGCTTTTTACTTATTTTATTTACATTTAAAATATGCCCCGTTAGCAACTAGAACGAGTTAAATTGTTCTTAACTGTAAGTAGTTTGGAAATTTTATTTCTTTTGTTTATCACTTCCCCTTGTAATGATTTCCAGCTGCACCGAACGGTATTGCAAAATGCAGTCCTCTTTCAAACTTTTTTGCTGGAAACTTTCCAGAGACCTCTTTTAAAGGTACTTTTGTCCATAAATGAAATATTGTCACAGTAGTATTGCTTCAGTGCCCTCATTTTCATAGTAAGAGTCATTACTTTCTGTGTAATAAACTGTAATGTTTGGAACTGAGTTTTTCAAATGAGTGGCTTTATTTGTTACAACAGATAATCCCAATAGGCTTTAGTGCAATACAGTCACTTTCAATAAATACTGTCAACGGAGATAGTTAAAAGTTTGTGCACAAAAGAAGCAGGTAAATCAGACAAGACCTTTGTATGGAAGGGATACCGTACATTAAATTCTTTATTATTTTTTTTTTGTAATACTGTGGGCAGTCATTAATCTGAAGATTTCATGTGTCATTTTATTGAAGTGATATCTTAGTCTTTACACAAATGCCATGTAAACAAGTTGCTGACTGTTCTCTCTCTCGTGGAGTTGTATGGAACCTTCTGTGTGTATACCCTCAATCCCTCTGAAATGTTGGCCTGTATCTGAGGTATGATGTTACAGCCGAAGGGACCGTTGTAAATTCACATGGAGACGGAACACTTCTGACAGCAGCTTACTGAAGCATGCTCTCGGGGACCAAGTGTCCAGTCGTTGCTGCTGAGGACAAGGAGGGGCGGCCTTGCTGGATGGCTTGCTGGGCGGCATTCCCCATTGATACCAGGACGCCACTGGTCCCCGCGATCCTTCCAGAGCCTGCTGTTCAGTCAGCACCGCTTTCTCACTTTTCCTGAAGTTGTGTTTTAGGAGCTCCGGGGACCTGACTTCTCCCCAACAGCTGCCATCACGGCTCCTTGGCAGGCGGAGGTATCACAGATGCCAGGAGGCCCCTGAGCGCCGACGGCACCAGGAAGGCCAGGATCGCCAGGGAGCCCAGGCTCGCCGTGAGCCCCATCTCGGCCGTCTTTGCTGACGCCGGGCACACCTTGCGGTCCTTGAGAGCCACCAGGAAGGTGAGTGGAGACACAGAAAGGGGACATCAGTGGAGTGTCCATTAAGTCAACCCAACTCTTGTGTTTCTCTAGGTCATTTCTTAATTCTAGGAGGGGCCCAGGGGAGGTGCACTCAGGCTGGACGGCAGCGAGGGCAGAGGCCTTGCGGGGGGAGGACGGGCCCAGGGTGCAGGAGTCGGGGTTCTGTCCTAAGCCGGGCAGCGTGGACCTGAGTCAGTCAGCGCCGAGTGAGGAATGGGTCTTGGGTGAGGGATGGGGGTGTTGTCGATGAGGGTAGCCACGGGGGTGGACTGTGTGGGGGCACCTGAGGAGGTGGACTTCAGGTGGGAGCAGAGGAGGTCAGCAGAGGAGAAAGCAGGAGCCGGGGGTGCTGACAGGTGTGTGTTGAGTAACCCCAGCATGTACCCCCCCCCCACCAGAAGGTGCAGAAGGGAACATGGCTGGGGCTGTTCTCCTCCCTCTTGGCAGAGCATTTATATTTGACATGAAAAATGCCAACACCCAGGGTACACGTGGGTTAAGAATTAAGAGAAAATTCTGTTAGAACTGAACTGAACTGAAATACCTGATGGCTTTAGTTGAATAAAATCTAACTGAATCTACTTCAACACAGGGTGATCAATTCATTGATTCAGCTTTTCCATATAAAAGTGGTTGCTGAAAGAGCTCCTGACCCTGCCTCTAAGAATGCTTTGCCAAGAGAAAGAAGTTGTTCCATTAGAAGGCTACGAAGTGTGCCCGTCCCCCAGATGTGCCCGTGTGACGTTAGTGACAGTGGTCTCATACCTTGCAGCCCTTGGTCTCCATCAGGCCCATCCAGACCCTCGCCAGCCGAGCCTTTGTCTCCTCTGTCACCCTGGTTTCCTGTCAAGAGTAAGTGACATAATCATATGCTTAGAAGCCCTGATTCAAGTTCAAAGACAGACTGGCTGTGGTGAGTGGTGATCTGCCTTCTTACAAGCAGGGTGCCCACTTTCTAAGCTTTTTACTGAATCAAAACACATTTAGAAAAGGACACGCAGCAAAGTGTCGGGCTCAATGTCACCCACTTGTGTGACTCCCCAGTATCCGAGCATCACTCTTGGACTTGTGGCTTGTTCAATCTGAGCATTTACCCTGTATTCCTATGTTCAACATGAGTTTTGACAGTTATTTAAGGTGTTTTCAAACACCCCCTGAACTGTGTTCTCTGCTTTCTCACTCCTGGCTGCTTTTGGTCTCCGTGGCCCTGGTGTCTGGAAGGTGCGCTAAGGCCTGCTGCGAGCGCCCGCTGGCTGCCTGTGCCTGTGTGATGCTGGCTGCAAGACCTAGGGATGTTCCGGGAAAACTGAGCCTCTTGTCCACATGGTGATGCTGCTTGAGGCAGACAGCTGGGCTGGGGGCATCTGTCCTGCCTGATGCTAAATCAGTGACACCAGTTTCCTTTCAATTGGTGTTTGTCATTTTTCCCATCACAGAAAGTAGCACACCTTCTGCAAAGGACTAGGAGCCCCAGGGCTGGGCAGTCAGGGCCTCCTATGGGTCCTGGGCTTTCCCCGGCCTCTACAGCTCCCTGACCCGTTTTGTCCTGGGGAGATGGACGCCCAGCAGTGACAGTGGCATCTGTCTGAGGACCTACAGAATATGTTCTCTTTTAACTCAAACAGTACCCCTCAGGCGTCCCCAGCCCGAGGCAGGCACCCCAGGGAGCACAATGACCCTGTAGCCGAATGGCTGCCTCCACTGAGTCCTGTCACGCTGTTTTTCTGAGAACCTATAAAGGTGATGAATGCTGTTTTTGAATTTTAGTTTCAACAGTCTTAAAGGCATTCAGATCCCTATTTGGATAAAACCTTGTTGGTCTGTCTTTGGGGGGAACCATCCCCCGCTGCAGACAGTGACGTCTCCAAGATGACAGGAAGCTGTCTGACAGTAGTGAGCTTCGGCTGGCCAGGGAAGAGAAGGGCATCTGACGGTGTTTGCCCTCTAGTGCTGAAAATATTCTCAATGTTTTTACAGTAACGAAACGATACCACTAATTACAGAAGCAGTTTCATCTACTGAAGTATTTAAACGTAATGTCACAGATGAACAAAGGAACTCACAGAAGTAAGTTTCGTTTTTCTTAAGCTGTTTCTCAGAAATAGAAAATTATTCTTTAAATAAGTTTGGAACCAACTAGCAGCAATGAGGAGCTCTAAATCCTAAATTTGGGCTGGGAGGCTGGCTGACCTGAGACAGTCAGACTGTGATGGCAGACGATGTATAATGAACCAAGTGTTCAAGGCCTTTTTTAGAAGAGGTTAATGGCCAGCAGTTCCTACAGCCATGTTACTGTGTGGGCACTGAGCTTCCCTCCACGGCACCACGGCAGGGGGTCAAGGTTTCCGCCTCGTTTCTAAATTACCTCTCCTAGTTCTTAAGATGCATTTCTCAATTTCATAACTTTTGCCTTATGCCACAGAAATGTTCACACATGCCAGTTTTCATTACAGGAACTGTTCTTACACATAAATGGGGCTCCTGTTGGTTCATTCCTCACATTCTTCTCAGTCCTCCCCCAAATTTTGTTCTAATGAAACTTGAGAGGAACATCACATTTTGGAAAATGTTGTCATACCCTTGGATTTAATAAGGAGCTGGGTCCCAGAGCATGAAGGGCTGTACCTCAGGCATCTCTAGCAATCGATTAACCTCTGGGGCTTTTCTAGAGGAGCCCGTGGGGAGGGGATGGGAGGAGAGTGGAGGGGAAGGGTGGGGCCCCCGAGGCCTCAGTCAGTTTCCCCTCTGGGCCTCTTCCCCACCCTGTCCCCATAAGGGAGCACCTCTGTGTGGAGACTGCGTGGAGACACTGGTGGGGGGCTCTAGTGTGTGGCTGTGTGGTGGGGTGGGCTGCACTCACCTCTGGGTCCAGGGTCACCAAGCTCTCCTGTGGGACCTCGGTATCCAGGGGGCCCTCGAGCCCCAGGGTGACCAATGGAGCCTGGGGGGCCTGGGGGGCCCGGGGGGCCAGCAGGACCCGGTCGCCCAATGGAGCCTGGTGCTAGGGGCTTCCTCAGGTGTGCGGCCAGCTGCGCGATTTGCTCTTTTAGAAAACAAAGATCAGACGTGTATTCATCAGAAGTGTGTCACGTGAAGTGTGAACATACTGCCCTTCAAAGAAAGCTTGTTCATTGACTGCAAAGGGCTGTAACTGCTTTAGGTCTGTGAGAAATGGTGTCAGTATGCTGTCCGTGAGAAATGCTGAAGAGCAAATCACAGCCCTAAGGAACGCTGAGGGGAAGGCACCCGCCCAGTGCAGACCCCAGGGACACCGCAATGGGCTTAGCTGGAAGGTGATGGAGGGAGGGGATGAGGGTGGGGTGGGGGTGAGGCTTGGGGTGAGGGTGGGGGGGGTGGGGATGGAGTGAGGGTGAGGCTGGGGTTGAGGATGGGACCCGATCTGGGGGTGGGTGAGGCTGCAGGCACCGTGGACCAGGCAGGGTGGGGCGGGATGGAGGACACTCACCGCTGACCAGCCCCCCGCACAGCTCCCTGATGTGTTGCTCGCTGGCTTCTTTCCCCTGAAATTCACCCCCAAATCCATCATCATATGGGGGGGCCCTCTGGCATCTCTTTGGGGCACCCCCACTAACACCAGGAATGCTGATTGTCTGGAAAGGACTTCATCCAGGTCCAGGAAGAGCCCAACATGCAGGAGCACTGGCTCCCGGGGGAAACGTACCGGGACCCCAGGTTTTCCAGTGATGCCGGGCACGCCTCGCACGCCCTGGAGGCCCATGGGGCCGGGGGGGCCAGGGACGCCATCTACGCCGCTGGTGCCATTGGGGCCCTGGATGCCCTTAGGGCCCAGCTCCCCGCGACTGCCGGACTGGAGGGAAACAGAAGCAGGAAGGGGTCATGGCCGAGCCACCTGCAGGGGCTTCTCCCTCAGAGCTGGCAACTTCCCCACTTCTGACCCACATGGCCATCAGTGCCCCAGAGCCAGCCTGGGGCCCCAAGGGGGCTGGGGAGCCAGTGTCTGCCAGGCACTCACCTCTCCTTTGGGGCCAACAGGGCCGCTGGGACCCTGGAAAAGAGCAGAAGGGAAGTTGTGCACTTCAGTTACTCGCATGTTGTTGGCTGTGGGAACTAGTTCCCCAGGGGCCAGCCTTGCCCGTTATTAGTTGGGGATGAAGAGAAAGCAAGTCACCCGTGAAGCTGCTGTCTGATTACACGACAGCATCCACACGGGTTACTCCTTCTTACTCTAGGTATGTTTCTTTTATGTTCATAAATATTGTATATTCTTTTTATATTTTTATATTGCTGAGATTGTATTGTAGCTACTGATGTTTTTAAACTTATTTTCCCTGAAGTGAAGTTGCTCAGTCGTGTCCAATTCTTTGCGACCCCATGAGCTGTAATCTACCAGGCTCCTCCGTCCATGGGATTTTCCAGGCCAGAATACTGGAGTGAGTTGCCATTTCCTTCTCTGGGGGATCTTCCCGACCCAGGGATCGAACCTGGGTCTCCTGCATTGCAGCCAGACGCTTTACCGTCTGAGTCTTCAGGGAAGCCACCTCATTTTCCCTCAGCAGTGTTATTAGCAGCAGTGTACTTCTTCTCACCCATGTTTATTTTGTTCTCACTCATTTTACTGTTACACACAAGGTGGAGCTGAGGGTCTCTGTGGCTGAGGCCCCCCCTTCTCCAGTTGTGAACCCGGGAATCTGCCTGGCAGGATGTGGACAGGGACTGGGCACCAGCCAGCTGCCAGATGGCCCAGGACCCCTCCTCCACCCGGGCTGCTGTCCGGTGAGAGCCCGATGCCAGCTCCGCTCCAGCCACAGACGGTGCCCAGCACCCTAGCCGGAAAGGTTGGCTCTGGGCTACAAGGTTCTGCTGGAGATGAGGGTCCTGGACTGAGCCGTTTCCAGACTTAAAGAAAGGCTTGGTTACAGAGCCAGAGACCTTTGCCACGTGGGGCCACGAAGGTCCCTGTCCCCAGACACCCTGACTGTTCCCTATCAGTCACCTTCTGAAGTGTGACTGTCTGTCAGTTCTATCAGCCTTTTGTTCTATCAGCTCGGTGGAAGCAGCGTTTTCTGTAGCTCAGTCTCAGCTCTGGCTAATTCATACTGAAAAGTCACAGAGGGAGTGTGGAGAGGGATTGAGGGACAGAAGACCCCACCACCGGGCCTGGGGTCGCCCACCACAGGGGACAGCACAGGACCCACCCTCTGCCTCAGGCCTCGACTCGGCCCCAGCCTCACCCCACAGACCTGCAGATGCTGCCCTCCCCGCACCCTCCCCCCAACCACAAACGTGGCAAGAGGCCGCCTATCACACTCACCAGTTCTCCTTTATCCCCAGGAAGGCCGTCAGCACCCGCAATGCCCTGAAACGACATAGTGCCGAGCTGCCGACCCCTATTCTTGGTGGGAGCCGTGCCCGAGACCCAGGCCTGGGTGCCAGGCAGACAGCGAGCAGAGCCTCAGGTGGGTTTGGACCGTTTTAGGTCCTCCTGGTGCTCCGGGGGCGGGGGGGGCAGTCAGCAGCAGAGCTGTGGGCCCCTCTCCCACCCTGGGCCCTCCTGAGAGAAGGTGCTGCTCCTGGGACCCAGACAGTCAGCGGGGAGCATGCCTACTCTGAGGGTCCCTGAGAAGCCCCCCAGGCCACAGGCAGCCTCTGTTGTACCCAGGAGCCAACTGACCCCGGTCTGGATGGGTGCTCTGAATCGTCAGCCTGGGAGGCCAGGAGTGGGGGGCAGCGACAAAGCTGGAATGAGGGAGGGAGAGAAGGAGGTGCCCCCAGCCCTGAAGACAGTGGCAGCCCCCCAGCTGACCTGACCACTGATGTCTCACCTGGTCACCCTTGGGGCCGGCAGCTCCTCCCAGGCCCTGGTCAGAAAGGGGTGAGCGTTAGAGGATCACAGCGGGGCATGGGAGGGGGCCAGTGCCCTTCCTCCACTGTGGCGCCAGGACCAGCTCAGCACACAAGGGCCCCTCCCGGACACTTGGCATCCTGGCCACTGAGAGTGACGGGAGCCTAGCCCCCAGCCTCCTCCCTGATGCCCCCAGCCCCTTAGTATCAGGGACAATGGGGACCCCCCAGTGCTGACTATTGGACACTGACACTGCCTGTGTGTGTGCTATGAACTGTGGGAGGTGGGATGAGGGGCGTGGGGGTGCAGGGATTCCCGCTGGGACAGCACTTACCCGGTCGCCGATGACACCTCGGAGGCCTTGGGGGCCCGGCAGGCCGGGGTCTCCTATGCTGCCCTTCCGGCCCTACAGACAAGGGCCCAGCTCGTCAGCCCCACAAAGGAGCCCAGTGTTGACCTCTCCCCAAGCCCGACTGGCCCGCCCACCTGGGCTCCCTGGCCCCAAACCTCACCTACCTGGAAGCCACGGACGCCAGGGGCCCCAGGGGGGCCTTGCGGGCCCAGAGCCCCCTGAAAGACAGAGGGAGAGCATTAGTCCAGCTCCACCTCCCCTTGGGGGCTGGGCAGGCAAAGGACTGGACCCCAAGCCATCTGGCCCAGTTGCTGGGGGGAGGGCATCCTGGGGGCAGCTGGGGTGGCAGAGGTTAGGCCCTGGGACCCTGTGCATTAGCTGGACTTGGCACCAGGCACCGATTCTCCTGCTGCCCTGGGCACTGAGGCTGGTGGCATCATTGCTGGGTCCGTGGAGGGGCCCGAGGCAGGGCTGCTCCCTCGGCCGGGTGCCGGGTGCCGGGTGCCAGGCTTCTGTGCCCTTAGCACAGAGTCTGAAGGACAGGACAGCTGGGGCCCGGCCACCACCATGTCCCAACTTTCACAGATTCAGCCCTTTCATACCTCTAAGATGCCACTCTAGCCCGCAGAGAAACGGGCCTCAAGCCCATTGCCCCCCGAGACTTCATTGCCCCAACTCACCGCTGAGCCCCTGTGTCCAGCCTCTCCACGCTCGCCGGGCATGCCAACATCTCCCTACACTCGGGAAGGGACAGAGGGTGTCAGCGGGCTCCATGTACACATGAGTAGGGGGCAAGGGCTGCAGATACTCACAGGGACACCGGGCTCTCCCGAGGGGCCAGCCTCACCCAGCTCTCCAGGTCTACCCTGTGGGGAGGGGTGAACCCTGAGTGCCTGCCTGCTGGGGGTGGGGGGGGGGGGCTCTGCCCCCAGGACCCAGACTGCGGCTGCGCCTTCCCCTTCCCCTCTCCCCAGGAGAAAGCAACCACGTACCAGTTCTCCTTTCTCACCCTTGGACCCTGCTCGTCCGGGGAGACCCTGTAGGTCAGAGGTCAGCACACAAGGTCAGAGGCAGAGCACCCTGAGAGTGAGGGGCTCCCACAGCCTCCCTGGCCTTGATGCAGAGACCCCACATGCACCCCTGCTTGGGGTAGATGGCCACCCAGTAGCCGCATGCACTCACTGGCAGCCCGTTGGGCCCCTTCTCTCCAGGGGCGCCATGGCGACCAGCTTCTCCCTGTGGAGTTTGAGGGACATGAGCTGAGGTCCTTCAGGCTGAATGCCCTGCACACCCTCCTTCTCCCTGCAGACCCCCAGCCAGGACCAACCTTTTCGCCATCGAGTCCTGGCACGCCATCCCTGCCATCCTTGCCTGGCATGCCCTGGGGACAGGACGGTGTTAGGTGGCGTGAGCCGTGGGCCCCCTCCAGGCCACGCCCTCCCAGCCACGCCCTCCAGGCCCTGCCCTTCCCCACTGCCGTGCTGTGGGTCTACCCTCCTGGACTCAGGCAGGTGGTGACCTGTGCTGCCCTCCGATCGTTAGGTGAAGGCAGGGAGGATGCACCCAGACCACACTCTGCCCCTAATGCACCAAGACTCTTCGCAACACTCCAGGGAAAGTCTGCTGTGACCACTTTACAGACCAGGAGACTGAGGCCTGGGAGCCAGGATCTGACCTGCCTAGTTCCACAGGCTCGACCAATTTGGGGATCACAAACACAGTCATGTGCTGGGAGGGCGGCAGGAGGGCAGCCAGGGTCTGTCCCTCCCCCCGCCTCCTTTAGCTCTGCCTCCCCACCACCAGCCGTGCTGCCCTGTCCTCTCAGGCTGGGGTGGGGAAGGAGCCAGGGGGCCAGGAGGAAGTGCGGGTCCGGGCTGAACGTGGGCACAGGGCCAGGAGAGCCGCACAGGTCACCCACCCCGCCCCCCCACCATGCACTGGCAGCCGCAGACACTCACCGGCTCTCCACCAGGCCCAGACATGCCGGGGACGCCTTTAGGACCAGGCCTGCCCTAGGGGACACGGAGGGACCACAGTCAGGCCTTGGGGACTGCTCTCCCAGATGTGTCACTGGGTCCTGGGAGGGGTGCAGGAGCCTTGCCCACCACTTGCTAGACTCAGGATTGGCTGGGGGACAGCTGTGGGGGCCAGGCCCAACCCCTAGGGGAAAAGGCCCATTAAGTAGGAGCTATCTTAGGGTCTTGGGGGTGCCTCTCAAGCCCCCTTGGGGGAAGACGAGATGGGTTTGGAGACTGTCACTTCAGTTCGTTTTGGGAGATGCCTGATTATCTCAGTGTCACTTAACCTAAGAATCATGTTTTCTGTTGCTCCATCTCAGCTGGGCAGTCCTTGCACAAGGTCAGGCCTCACAGCCCAGGGCCTCTTGATGGAGGTCAGTGGTCCTCTGGCCCCTGCCTGGCCACTCCCAAGAGGAGCTTGTTAGGTGACAGTAGCTTCAAGGAGCCACAGGGGGACCAAGGCCAGGGGCTCCCCCTACCCCCAGGAGAGGGCAGCTGCCCCAGGCCCCTGGACTTGCTGTCTGTGTGCCTCTCCCATCCCCATGGACCAGGTTCTACCCAGGAAGGACCCAGAGAACCCAGGTTCTCTCACTTACAAGGTCGCCCTTGGGGCCGCGGAACCCCTCTGGGCCCCTCTCTCCTCTGTCGCCCTGCAGTGACAAGGGGGGACAGGAAAGAGTTAACAAGGTGGGGGGACAGGTGACCCTGCTGAGGGTCGCAGGGGCCAGAGGGACCCCGACCACACCTCCACCTCACTTCATGTCTGGAAGCAGGGTGCAGATCTCCCACGAGGGCCGGGCTGACTCTGGGAAACACCCCCGCGCCCAGTGTTTCTGGTCATTCCTCTCAGGCATGCGCCCAGGTGTGACACGTGTCCCCCAGGGGAGCCCATGGGACAGTGAAGCCCCGGGAAGGGCTGGGGCAGTCCAGTGGGTCTGGGGAAGGCGACGGTGAGGAAAAGAGGCGAGAACGGAGCTGGGCCTGCAGGGGCCGCCCCACCCCCCCTCAGACACACACATACCACTTTCCCAGGGGCTCCTGGGATCCCGGGGGGCCCTCGGAACCCGATGGGACCCTGTGGAGGAGAAAGACCCTGAGCCTCTCATCAGAGGCCTGGGGGCATCCCCAAGGCACCCAGGTCCATCTGGAGAGGCCCTCCCAGGAGCTCCCCAGCAACGCCCACATCAGCACCCCACTAGGGGCCCCAGGCCTCTTCCCATCCCCACATTTGCCAAGGCCTCCTCACCTGATGCCTGCCATCTGCCCCTCCTATCCCTCTAGACCCACAAAAGCCTTCACAGGCACTGGTTTTCGGAACCATCCAGTGAGTGGAGTCCAGAGACAGCCCTGCCATGGCTATGGGTGAGGACCCACACTCACGGGGCCCACCTGACCTCTGGAGGTGGCCCCCAATGCCTCTTGACCTCGGGCTGGCCCACAGCCCCTCAAGGGCCAGGGAGGTGGGGAGGCTTGTAGACTTACCCGGTCCCCAGGGGGTCCGAGTGGCCCTGGAAGTCCTCGTAGGCCCCGTGGACCCTGTAGGGAGAGAGCTGGAGCTGTAGGGCCTGGGCCAGAAGTCCCCTAGGAGTGCACACCCCCCAGGAGCCACAGAGACCCTGGTCTCCCCTAGAAGCCCCTGGTCTCAGGACCCCCACCCAGTCCCGTCCTGGGGGTTGGTGGACCACTCGCAGCCCTGAGCTGTTCACCCCACATCCTCACCCGTCCAACCCCTCTCCTTGCTCACCTGCAACCCCACGGTGCCCGGGATACCAGGGGGTCCAGGGGGGCCGGGGTCACCCTGCAAGAGAGGCGCAGAAAGTAGTGGTGGGTGGGGTCAGCCCTAGCTCTTCTCCTTGCCCTCTCCCCCCACCCACTGCTCAAACCCTAGTAGTGGGGGGCATTGCCCTGACCTCACAGCTGTGCCTCCAAGGCCAAGGGGGCGCTGGCCATCTTCCAGAGAGGTTGCACGCTGTCCTCCCTCCTAGCAAGGACCCAGCCCTCCCCAGACACCTCCTCACAGTGGGGGTCAGCCGCTCACGTGGCAGTCTGGCCACTCCCATCACGCTAGAGGGGCCCTAGTCTGCGGGTAAGGACAGACACACGTCCTCCAGGGCAGTGGTCATGAGGGAGTGGGGCGGGGCAGCGGGCCTGCCCAGGCTCAGGGAAACTTTTTGTGAGGCCAGGTGGTGGGGGTCTGTGCACAGACCCTGCCCCAAACCACCGGGCGCTGGCAGGCAAGCCCAGAATGGGGGGATGGGGGGTTCACAGAAGTTGCTCAGTCAGGGTGCCCCCATCTGCCTGCCTGAGAAGCAGCCAGCACCTCCTCACTCATCCCAACCCCTCACCGCAACCCCATCCCAGCACCTGTTCCTCCCCACCCCCTGCCGGGTTCCACCCCATGGCCAGCCTCTACCTTTTCGCCATCCTTGCCGACTTCTCCGGGCTCCCCTTTGTAGCCGGTGGGTCCCTGAAAGACAGAGGTGGGCAGACAGTCACGGCCCCACCCCCAAGCAGCCCTAAACAATTAGGCCTGCCCAGCCCACCAGCCAGCTGGGGAAACCAAGGCCCTGGTGGGAGGAGCAGTGCTGGGCCAGGATGGGGGTGGGGGTCTGAGACCAGCTTTCCCCACGCTGTCTCTCGATGCCACCCATCCCGGCGGGTCACCAGTGTTGAGGGGACAGGGACACAGCAAGGACCCCCGGCAGGGTGGGACCCAGCCCCCCTTGCTTCCTGCAACAGCACTGTGACCCCACCACCTCCTGACCTCGGCCCATGTTGGGGCCTGGCCACCTCCTAGGGAGTGTAGAGGTGGGTTGGGGTCTGTGTCAAACCTCAGTGGCTGCTCACCTTGAACCCTGGCATTCCTGGGGGCCCTGGGGGGCCTGGCGGGCAAATGGCTGGGCACTGTGAGGAAACAGAGTGGTCAGACAGAATAGGAGCAGGCACTTAGGTCAGAACATGGAGGCCCTGAGATGGGCCATTTGGCACGGGTGAAGGGGACCTTGGGCCACACGGCGGCCGAGACAGGGCCTCATTCAGGGACACCACGGGGTGCAGTGAGGCATTGTAGAGCCAGGCCGCAGCCACCAGCCCCTCTAGGCCGCCTCCACACACCCGGCTCCGATGTCTCAGCCCAGCACAGGTTCAAAGTAGCTATTCAGCACGGTGGCTGCTGGCTTCACAAAGGGGCCTTCATCACACAGCTCGGCAGCCAGCCCTGCTCGGGGTCCCCATGGTGCACGGAGGTGCCAGAGGGAGGCTTGCGTGACCCTCGGGCATCCCCAGGGTCTCGGCAAGCCCAGGGCTGGTGTGGGGGCTTCCGGATCATTCCACAGCTCATCTGGTAGAGTCAGTGATGTCACCCCCCAGTTGCTCCCCCAGCATCAGGGGCCCAGCCATTCTCCTCTTTCCAGAAGACCCCTGAAGCCTCCACAGGGACACCAATGTCAAGCCCTCAGGACACAGGTGGGGGCAAGAGGGGCCGGCAGGGGCACAAGTGGGCTAGCCAGGTCAGGCCAGGCCCTCTGTTTAATAACTTACAATCGATCCTTCCGTGAAGCTGGGTGTGTTGGCCCATGAACCCTGGGCCTCCAGAGTTGCTGTTCTTACATGAGAGGCAAGGTTCAAATACTAGACTAGCCTGAAAATTTCTGTCTACCCTGCCAAGGTGGTCAAGCTTGCCCTGGCCTTCACATGCAAAGCCTTGCTGTGCCAAGGAGGAGTGGAATTGGTCAACATGTGATTTTGCTTAAATTAACTTCCATTTGCGCTACCATGCTTGCCAAGGAGATTGATGGTGCAAGGCTAGACTGTGGGGTGGGGAGAGGGCAGCGCAGGGGAGATGCTACATCCAGAACTGGTGCTGCCTGCACTGAACCTGTTCTTAGGGAGCCCCCATCCCTGCCTTCCTGTGCTCTCCAGATGGGCACCCCCTCCCACAAAGACAAGCACCCCCACAAAAGGCTTTGAAAAGGCTGCACGTGCCCACCTGAAGATCAGTAGCACCTTCGGGAAGGACCCCTGGGTGACCCTGGAACACAGAGATGCCAGCTTTGACACAGCCCTCCACCCTCCCTTCCTACAACCCACCACTGGAGACCACCATGGCACTCGGGCCCTTCATCCCCCAGTGGCCAGTGCCAGTTACTGCTGGCCCCCTCTGCAGGGTGTGTGACAATGACAAAAACCATCTGCCCTTGGGATGGGGTGGCCCCAGGCCTGAGCCCCACTAGCCCGGGTCAGCTGACGCACCTGCTCCAGCCTGGCCCTAGCCCCTGTCTGGGGTGTGGCCGGGACTCTCCCTGCAGACATGGGTCCTAGGGCTGGCAGCCTGGGGGCCTGAGGATGGGCACCCTGGGGACAAGGGAGTCCCACCCACCAAGCAGTCACCCATGCCTGAGACTTGCCCGAGAGCTTGAGAGCCTCTGCCCAGTACTCACAGGGGGGCCAGGAGGTCCCGGGGGGCCAGGGAGGCCTGGGAGTCCTGAGGGTCCCTGTGGGAGGGGTTATGACTTAGAAAGAGCAGGAGAAGCCCCCACCATGGATGAGGCGACCAGCCACCTCCGGAGAGGAGCACACCCCCCCCCACCCCCACCAGGACCATGCAGTTATGGTGCCGCCCACCTGCTCGCCCGTCTCCCACCTTCTCGCCCCTCTCCCACCTTCTGCATCCTGAGATCCACTCTGTCTTTGGACTTCAGCCACTGAGGCCCACCAAAGAAGAGGGGAGGGAGAGGAGGGGTGCAGGGAGCAGGTGAAGAAGGGAGGGAAAAGGGAGGGAAAGGCCCCCATAGTTGCCTTTGAGGAGTCCTGGCAGCCACTCACCGGGGGGCCCCGGAGGCCAATTCCACCTGGTAGGCCGCTCACCCCTGCCTCTCCCTGGGGAGGTAAAAAGTGAGAGAGGGGGCTCTGCACCCAAGGAGCTCTGAGGACCCAAGGCAGTTCAGACTCTGTTCTGTATCCCCTCACAGGGCTGGCCAGCTCTCTTTAGGGACAGGGACTCTGTCACCCCACCAAGCCCCACCCTCACCCTGGCTTGGGACCTGGTGACCATGTTGGCTCTGAGTGTGGTGGGCATGTTTTGGGGGGGGCGGGCACGAGGGTTGTAAGTACTCACAGGGGGTCCAGGGAGGCCTTTGCCCTGCAATGCCAAGAATGGGGTCAGGGCTTGCTGGGAATGGGAAGGGGTTGCCCACCACCCACCCCATCACCCTGAGCTGGTAGGTGGTCATTGGGGATGAGAGGATACAGCCAGGATGGCACCCAGGATCTCAGGAGAAGCTGCAGAGGGGCCGCACTTGGGGAGTTTTGGGGCCCTCAGGCTCCCACCAGGAGGAGACGCCAGTACTCACCCCCAGCCCAGGTGGCCCTGGGGGTCCCAGACTTCCCTGCAGGAGGAAATGGGGTGTCAGAGGGGCTGGCAGAGGCACCATGCCTGCGTGTGCCAACCCGTTCCCCTCCCTCCCAAGTTCATCTCCCCTGAGGAGGGGTTCCTGTTTCACAGAAGACTGACAACAGGGAGTGAGTTGGGGGCACCTCTGATGTCCCAGGGGTCTGGGTCCAGCCCTTTACCAACAATCCTGCAGAGGAAAAACCAGAACCAGTCCCACCTTCCTGGGAACGCTGCTGCAGGCAGGATGGACCACCAGGTGTGACCCATGCCACACAGAAGAGCTCCATGGCCAGTTCCTCCAGGAAGCCCTCCGACCTTGGCCCACAGTAGAGAGTCCCAAAGCTCCAGCAGCCACCTGCCTGTCAGCACCCTCCTGGCCCTCCTCCTGCCTGCATCCCAACTTCGAGGTCCTTGTACTTGGAGGTCCCTCCCCTCCTGTGTCCCAGGCTCCCAGCAGAAAAGCCTGGAGCTAACCCACTTTCTCCCACCCTCCTCCATCTCCCACACCCTCCTTGGCATCACCAAAGCACCTGCCCTCCTGCAGGCAGCCACTCTCTTCCTTGTTTCTACTCAGAAAGCTCCATAGCCCAGTTCCCAAAGGCAGTGCTGTGCCCTGGGTCCCCCCACACCCAGCCCCCTGTCCTCTGTACTCCAGGGCTGGGAAATAGTCATTTCTTAAAGCAGGGTAGGAGAGGGAGTGTTGGGTTCAGCTTTGCTCTCAGCACCACGAGAGAAGTTAGTCAACCAGAAAGAGGCTTTGGTGGACACTGGTCAGACTCAGGGGACAGGCTGGGTGACCATGGCCCCTCAGGTGGGCACAGAGAAAGAGGCAGTGGTTCACCACGGGAGGAGGAGGGCCAGCCATGCCCCCCACCATGCCAGCCTCTCAACATGGTCTGAGGGCTGCGGCAGCTCTGCCCAGATGGGGTGGGGACAGGGAACGTGCCACCCTGGGTCCACCTGCCCTCCCGCCCCCTCACCCCACATCAGGGGCAGGGCCCATCCAGTCCAGTCATGGCAGATTCCCTCAGAACACCCACCCTGTGGACAGGCGGTGCTCAGCCAGACTGCCCCTGCCCAGGACCTCAACCCCAAGCTGAAGCCACTGGATGCAGTGCCTGCCTTACCCGTTCTCCGGGAGCGCCCTTGGGTCCAGGAGGTCCATCCTGCCCGTTCAGACCCTGGGGAGCAGACGGAAGGAGGGCTGGAGGGTTCGCACAGGAAGGATGTGCCCCACTAGGGGGAAGAGCCAGCCATGGGCCCTTCTCTGACTAAAGCCAGTCTAGAGAGGTCACAAAGACTGGACTGGTACCTCCCCCCACTGGCCCCACCCACCATCCACCTGGTGTGCTGTGCTGGGGGGTGGGGGCAGCTGGTGGGAAGCCAGTAGCTGAAGCCCCTGCTGGAGTGGACAAGCCCTGAGAACAGGAGAGTTCCCCGCTTGGACCCCCTCCAGTGCTCACAAAGCCCCCGTCCTGGGGCCCCGCCTTAAGCTCCTGAGGACCCCTGATGCAGCCGCCAGGGGCTCGGAGGGGTCTGGATAATGGGCCTTTGTTCCCAGAGAAGAGAGAGCTGGCGGGACTTTCGCCCCTCCTGTGTGCTGGCGTTGTCGTCTGGCAGACAGGGCCAGACACTGATGGGTCTGGGACGGAGGCCAAGGGACCCCGCTGGGGGACCTCCGGAGATCCTCTTGGGCCAGGCTCTCCTGTTTGAGCTGGCCCAGCTGGAGAGCAGCAATTAAACCTGACTCCTGGGTGCTGGGATGGAGCCCCTCCAGGAGGGAGGGGGTGGGGGCTCGCACCAGGAGAGGAGGGAAGGGGAAAGGGAGGGGAGGAGTGGGCACACTCACATCCACTCCAGGCAGTCCAGGCAGCCCAGCCTCTCCCGGTTTCCCCGGCTTCCCTGGGGCCCCTTTCGGTCCCTGTGGGGGGAAAGGGTGGAGGCGTGACAGAAGCTGAGCCAGAGAGTGGCCTTCACCAAGAAGACAGACGTCCTCCAGTAGGGCCTGAGGAGGGCCTCTCCACCAGAGCCCCACCTCCGTGCTACCCGCAGACTCTGGCCCAGCTGCCCACCTTTGCTGGCGCCTCCTCCAGCAGCCCCCTACCCTTCTTTGGCCACATTTGTATGATACTCACCTGGATGCTTCAACCTTCCCAGTGAAGGGCCAGGGTACCCTCTGTGAGCCTCGAGCCCTTAATTCCTGGCCTGAACAGCTCCAGGAGGGTCACTTGTGGGGCCTCTGATGAGCTGGATGTGCAGGGTTGTGTCGACCCCTCCCCTGGCCTGAACAAGCTTCAAAAGCCAGACCCTGCCCTGAGAGGCGTCAAGTCCCACCTACTTCCCTCCCACCCCTTTCTGCTCTGCCCCTTCTCCCAGGCCTCCCCTTTGGTGACGCAGGGCCCAGCGTGATGGGAAAGGATGTCAATGACCCCTCTGTTATAGGCCCATCCCTCCCCTCCAGAATAGAAGGAGGCCATTCCCCCCAACCACACCCACACACACAGCTCACACCGCAGCCAGGACACTCACCACGGGCCCAGGCAGACCAGGAGGACCAACTTCTCCCTGCAGAGAGAGGACATGCCCATGTGACCAAGCATCCCCAGGGAGCAGAGCTGGGCCAGAGGAGGCTCCAGAAGACAAGATGGAGCCCCTCATCCTGTCGTCCACACCGGTGGGCCTCTCCCTTCCAGGGGCAGGCACAGCAGTGGGTGGTGGGGAGAGGGCAGGTGGTGGGGAGCAGGGTTAGCTGGACAGATTGGGGCTTTTGAGCCCACTTTGAGGGCACAAGAACACCCCAGAAATGATGGGAGGTATCATGAAGCCCACCCCTCCACCTGCCTGAAACCTAGTCAGAGGTGGCAGCCCCCACTTACAGAGGAAGGCACCCCAGAACCCCTCCCCTCTGATGACCACCCAAAGCTTCCAGGCCAGGTATTACATGGAAACGTCCCTAGAGGGAACAATGGGGCTTGGCTCCTATTGGCTGCGGAGCCTTGGGGTGCAAGGGGCCCAGCCCCACCAGGAGGGGAGGCTGCCTGTGTCCAGGGCCCGACATGGCTGCACTCTGCAATGGCCCTTTGGAGAGGGTGAGAGGAGGGAGACTCAGGCCATTAAGAGCTGGGCAGGCCCCTGGGACTCAAGGAGCTGAGGACTGGTCAAGATCGACTCCACCAGGGAAAAGCACTGGTGAGGAGAGGCCTGGAGGGCCCTAACCTTCATGGCCTGGCTGGATCTCTTTGGGTCCAGGGCTCTCACCCCGCCTGGATCTGGGGGCAGGCTGTGGGGTCTCATCTGCTTCCACATGGCCAGGGCCACACTTAGGCTGGGGCACCTTGAAAATGACAGCCCCCCAGCCCCTTCAAGGCTGGCTCCAACCTCTAATAGCCATGGAGACCCTGCTAGGGGGACAGGCCCTATGCCTGGGCCTTTACGTCCAGAGAAGAGGAGTGTGGGCCCTCTAGGGACCCAGAGACACATGCCTCAGGGCCCACACTTCCAACCCAAAGAGTACTTCACAGCCACCCCCACCTGTTCTTGGGAGACAACCCCTGAGGGGTCCACTCTCAGAAGGAGCAAGAATCATTTGTCCCATTTCACTTCTCACAGGGGTGCTCATCACCCCCAACATCACCCCAGCTCTGGGAGGTGGACTTGGTTTTCTCTCCATCAGGCCTGGGGCTCAGGGAGTTTGGGGCCAGAATGAGAACCCCACAGAAGCTCCCCTATCATCCCCCCAAACTCACATCAATGCCATCCTTGCCTGGCTTCCCAGGTGGCCCTTGGGGACCGGGCGGGCCTCGAGGTCCCACTTTCTGAAATGGAGAAACATCATCAGTTGGCAGCTCCCCATGCTCTCCCACTGCGGGTTCCCCTAGTTGGCCCTGGGGTTAGCCTGACAGAGCACCCCCTCCTCTCAGTCCAGAGAAGAGCTCAGGCCTGTGCAGGGGCCTGCACCACCCCCCTCCCCACTCCCCTTCAGACCCCCAGGCTGTCGCAGCATCCCCTGCCACCTCACTGGGCCAAGAGGGGCCACGTCCAAGGCCCAGGAGGAACAAAGGCCACATTGTGTGCTTCTGGTGGAGACGCAGCTCTGGCACCACCCCCGCTGGGTGAGGACAGGGCAGTCCCTGAACTCATCTCCAGGGTTTCCTTGGGGGCTCAGCTGGGCGATGGCGAGTCTGTGCCCAGGTGGTACAGAAACTTTGCAGTGACAAGACTGTGTCCGCCATCCCCAAGTACCCTGGAATTCCTGGCTCCCTCACTGACACAGGGAGACTGGCTACAGGGGCAAGTGGGGAGCTTATTCCCTGGCTGCGCTGCTCAACAGGTGACTGCAGAGCCACGGACCCCTACCTTAGCTGCATTCAAAGGCAAGCCCTACGCGCCCCGGGTCCCACGCTCACCTGTGCCTCGGTCAAGGTTACGGTGGCGGCCAGCAGCTGCCCCAGCAGCAGCAGGGCCAGGGTGGGGGCTCCGGCCATGGCTGCACTCGCACTCTGAGAGGAGCTGGCGGGCGGAGGCAGGGGCCTCGAGCTGGGCTCGGCGGGCGGGGCTGGTGGTGGGCCGGCCAGACACCAGTTCCCGCCCCGCTGGCCCTTGCACAAGCCCCTCATTCAGCCAGCCCACCTGGGTGGGCGGGGGCTTCTGCATTGCCCCACTCCCTGCCGAGCCAGCCAGGGAAAAAAGAAACCCAGTGGCATTTTTGGGGCCAGCCTCTGAGTTAAAATTATCCTGGGACCGGTGAGTTACACACACACACCTTTCAGTAAAAGAGAAAGAGCCTCTTTTCTCACTTGGTCCTGGACCAGGGTGTAGAGGGAGAGCCCCACGCTGAAGGCTCCTTTGAAGAAGGGGCAGTCGTGGTCCTATCAAGGGGCTGACCAAGTCACATTCTCCTGAGGGAGAATTCCCCCTCCTGAGAGGGACCCCGCTGCCCAAGGCCTAGGAAGTCCTTCAGAGAGAGTGAACACATCTGTGCCAGGGACCAGACAGGGCCCACCAAGGACCCCGGTCCCTGCCGTGAGCAGAAGTCCAGGGCCATGCCTGCCAGGGTGGAACCCCCCCCTCACCGGGGCCCTCACCCCAAACTTTAACTGTACTGAGTGGTCCATGCACCTGAACCAGCACTGGCAAAGGCCGACTGTCACCCAGCACTGCCACCCCGAGAGGAAAGTGGGGGCCCCACAGAGAAAGGAAGTGCCCCTGTGACCCCGGGCTCGAGAGAAACACAGTGGACAGGGGCTGGCTGCTCCTTTCTCACAAGCTGGGCGAGCTGTGCGTCACCTAGAAACACATGGGGACAGAAGGGTGAGGGGCAGCACCTGAGGCCAGGGGCACTCAATGTCCCCCAGGGGGACACTCAAACATCCAGGTCACCTACAGAGCCCCGATTGCTCAGAATCCCCAGCTTCCCCCCACCTGGCATCAGAGTCTTTAGAATTCCCTAGGAAATGAGGCTTCAGAATTTCTGCAGGAGGCAACTCAGAGCTTTTGAGTCTATGGAGGAGGCGCGTGGAGGCAGACCATGCAGTTAAGAACCTCCCTTCCCTTCCTCATTGGGTTCAGCTGTGAGCCGCTCATCAGGCTTGGCCACACCCTCCAATCTTTGTTCAGTCGCTAAGTTATGTGCGACCCTTTGTGACCCCATGGACTGTAGCCAACCAGGCTCCTCTGTCCTCCACTAACTCCTGGAGTTTGCTCAAATTCATGTCCATTGAGTTGGTGATGCTATCTAACCATCTCACCCTCTGCCTCCCCCTTCTCTCTTTGCCTCTAAAGGCAGGGAGAATTATAACAGGAAGGGACAAGAGAATCTACAAAATTCCTGCCTTCTAGAGTGGCTCAGACGATAAAGCATCTACATGCAATGTGGGAGACCCAAGTTCAATCCCTGGGTTGAGAAGATCTCCTGGAGAAGGAAATGGCAACCTACTCCAGTATTCTTGCCTGGAAAATCCTATGGACAGAGGAGCCTGGTATGTTACAGTCCATGAGGTCGCAGAGAGTTGGACACGACTGAGTGACTTCACTTTCAGGAGTCATCCTAGGACATCCTCACAAGACTGAGGGTGGGGCTGTGGGACTGGGGGCGGGGCAAGCCACTCCATCCCATCCCCACTGACACGGCCTCTCGCCCAACCCCTCTTCCTCCTGTACTTCCTTGCCTGACACGGCAGGGGCGCCAGAGGGCTCCTGCTGGACCAGAAGGGTGCCTGGAATCCCATTCCCCCATCCTAGCCCTATGTAGACTCTCCCACCTGCTGCCAGGAAACACTCTCCCTTGGAGAGCAGCCCCTGTCTTGAAGCCCCAATAGCCACAGTGGCCTGGGGAGAGGCCAGGGGGCCGGCTTCACATCTACCAGCCATTGTCTGGGGTCACTGCCCACCTGTCTTGGGCTATCACTCTACCTGAAGCTTGCAGCTCAGGTGGGTCTGAGCGGCCTGCCAGCCTATCCCCAGGTCCCGCTGCTGGGCACAGATACTCCCCTCCCCCAAGGTTGCTCTAAAGGGGTCTTCTCCCTCCAGACTTTAAGCTTTTCCATCTGAGCCTGAGCCTGATAACAATCTGGATAAGGACCCTGACCCCTGGGGTCACTGTATGGCCCACACTAGCCCCAACAAGTGACTTTAAGTTTGTCCATCTCCCCTGCCCCCACACACAGGACAGGAGCTGTCGGGGGAGCATGTTAGTGGGAAGCAGGTCCCAGCTCCCAACCCACAGAATGAACTAGGCTCCCTCCCCCTGCCCCCACCCTCAGGTGTGAGCTCCATCACTTCCACCCGTCGGGAGGGGAGAGGTCAGCCCTGGCCAGGGGACAAAGCCAGGCTGAGGGCACCATGCCCTGTGGGTTGGGGGCTGCTGAAGGAGGGAGGCAATCTGTTCTCATGCCAGGTTGGAGGGCCCAGGGTCCCTGTGTGTAGGACCCATGGGCTGAGAGGCAGCTATGGCTGCTAGGGCCGGGGCAGAGGGGACAGAGCCAGGGAACCACCACAGAGCTTGTGCTCCGAGGTGCATCACAGAACCCCAGTCAGGGCACACCTGACACTGCTCCACACCCTTGAATCGGTGACAAAAGTCAGCCTAGGGACCCAATGCCCAGCCCCAGAGACTCTGGGTGGCCGTGCGATCAGGGTGCATTTTGGGGGGTATACGCTGGGGGGCACACACGCTCAGGAGGGCCGCACCAGGGTCGCACGCCAGGCACTTCCACAGCAAAGTGGTGACACAGCTAGGCCACATGCAACCATGAGTCCAGACAGAGTTACTCATGAAACCAGCCCCTCCCCTGCCCTGGCCATCCACGAGCTGCCATCCATACCGAAACACTCAAAGTCAAATAAGTTTATTCAGAAAAGGCCTCTGCACCAGAGTAAGAAAATGAGCACCCCTTCCCACCCCTCCAGACCCTAAAAGGCCAAGTTACAAAGGTGGGGAGGGAGGTGGCTGCACAGAGGAGGGAGGAGGTGGGAAGTGAGGTGGAAGGAAGGCGGCTGAAGCCTCAGCCTCCCGGAGGGCAGGGCCTGGCCTCCTCGCAGCTGCAGTGACCACCAGGGATAGGCCAACAGAACTGGACACTGAGAACAGCTGACAACGTGGCTCCCAGGCCTGTGGCAGGGCAGGGCCAGGAAGCCCACGGGCGTCCCCTTCCCTAAGGCTCTCCGGGATGGACACGAGGCCCCTCCTCTGCGGGCTCTGCCCTCTCCTCCACCTCCGGTCCTGCAGTGGCTGGGCTCCCAGGGGCACTCTGCTCCAGCCCTGCCTGGCCTTCTGCTTCCTCTTTGACTCCATTTGTGCCCTCTTCAGCCTCTGAGCACTCGGATGGCTCAGGGGGCTTAGTGGTGGCCAGTTTCAGGGTGCCACCATTGGCTGCTGCCTCTGGGTGATCACTGGCACCTTGGTCCATTTTCCTTCGCTTCCTCACCTCATTGGCCACCTTGGCCCCTGGGAGCTGGGGGCAGGGCTGCTTGGCCTCCTCCGGGGCCTGGTTGACCACTTCCTGGGTCTCTGCCCTGAGGCTGCCCTGGCTGAGGGCGCAGCCCTCCAGGTTCAGGGCGATCTTCTCCACCTCAGAGGCGCTGGCTCCTGGCTCCCCCAGGGCCCGCTCCCGCAGATTTGCCTCCAGCTTCCTCTTCTTGCTCTCCTTGGGGTTTGGTGACTCTGGTCCCTGCTCCTCGCTGGTCTCATCTCCCTGGTCCCTCTCCAGGGCTCTGACCTCTTGAGACTCTGTGCCAGGCAGCTGGGGACCCTCAGCCAGCGGGCCTGCCTCCTCATCCTTCCCCAGCCCACAGATGTGCCTCTGGGTACCGGCTTCAAGGGTGGGTTCCCCAGAGGTCTCCTCCTTCACCTCTCTGGGGCAGGCAGGCCGTGGTGAGCAGGGTGGCGAGCATGGCTTGAACTTCTGCAATTTGTCCTGGGGCCCCCAGACAAACCTGCAGCGGGGCCGGAAGTGCTCCCAGGCGAAGTGCAGCAGCTCGCGGCGCTGGTGCCGGCAGCGCACTGTGAACACGAAGTAGTCCAGGGCGCTGTGCCGCAAGCCCGGCAGCTGCCTCCGCACCAGAGTCTCCTCCAGGAAGAAGCGAGCCAGGGGTGCCTGGTAGTGCGCCAGCCCCAGCTCCCCCAGAGACTTGAGGATGCGGGTGATGCGGAGGTTGTTGTGGCTGTGCCTGGTGGGGACAGGAGGCACTGGTGGGGCTGCACACGGTGGGTGGTGCTCAGCCAAAGACTGCCCTTCTCCACCCTGCCCCCACTCCCCCAAGAGGCTGGTGTCCACCAGTAGAGACATTCCGGCCCACAGGTCAGCTCCCACTCCCACCCTGTCCTCAGGTCCCTGAGAAGATGGCCTGTGGACCTGGATCATGTTTGGTGAAGGACTGTGATGCATTCCCTAGAAGGGTGACTGTCCCCTTGGTCCCATGGAACACCCACCCCCAGCACAGCTGGAGATGAACCAGATGGGGACCCTCTAGAGGCAGGGGTGTTACCCACGTGCCCTGAGCTGCCCCTCCCCTCCACCCAGTGCATCCCAGTGGGGCAAGGGGAGGATGTCTCCCACACCCCCCAGGTGGGGTAATCAGGGATGCAGTGAAAGTGACGGAGCCCCTGGCAACCCAACCCATGCCTACATGGGTGGCAGGCCACAGTCAAGAAGCCCACAGCTGAATCAGGTGGCACTCACCCCTACTCCCCCTGCTCCCTCCCCAGTCCTGCCCCACCTGGTCCCATCCTCACCCCTTGCTCTTGCCCCCACCCTGCCATTGCCCCACCTCCACAAGCTCAGAGGATGCTGGGAGTCTCAGGCCCCACCTTGCAGGCCCCCTCCCCAGAGATGTTCCTCTGCAATCAGAGACCAGCTGTGCAGACCCCTAAGCCCCCGGCCTGCTCACCAGTTGAGGTTCTGGAAGCGTTTCTGGTAGTTGTGTGCTCGGCACACCCGGCCGGTATCTCGGTCCTCGAGCTGGATCCCGAAGAAGCCCAGCATGA